TATAACACTAAACCCTAAAAGTCGGGGGCGTAGGCTTGCAAAAACCAACTGCACATACGAGAATGTCATACGTTCACACACAGTACACATCCCTGAGAAGTCAGACGTATACCTTTGGATATACTAAAACAGAAACACAAACCACGGTAGTCTACATACCAGTCATGCTCACAAACACTGCCAGGGCCAGCCACAGCCCCATCTCCACAGCGTACATGCGGTACACTGAGCGGTGCACTACGCCGCTCTCACACTCTTCGAGGGCCTCCTCCTCTGCATCACTACCCGGACTGTCCAGGACATCCCCTGCAGTCCTGTTACCCGACACTTCAGGACAGGGCATGTTCGGTCCTGTGATATCTGTCGGTTCAACACCACGCGAATCATCAGCTGTACGGACCTGCCCACTATCAGCCGCACACGCATCGCTTACCAATACACTCTCGCCACGCTGCTGCATGGTCAAACGCCCGTCCTCCATTGCGTAGTACGCCAATTGCCGCGTAAACGCCTCTCCCGCCACCCTGCAGCTACCCACTGGCTGCGAGTGTTTGCTGTGGGTTAGTGAAGGGCTCTCGGCGCTCGTCTCCACCGGAATACCGTTAACGTTTTGGTTGGGGACTGTCGTGGGAGTTTCCTTATGACAGGGGAGTGGGGTGATTGCTGCCTGCTCACTCTCCGGAATACGGCTAACGTTGTCCGATGCCGTATTGGGCGGCATGGTCCGATCGTTACTATCTTGGACAGCCCCAGAGCTACCTCCATTGGGTGGCAAGGCCCAATTTTTACTGTCTGGGACAGCCCCAGAGTCACCTGGAGTTGTACCACGTGTGGCACTATAGCCTATCGGCTCAGGCGATGACTGACTATGACTGTGCACTTGTGCTGCGGTTGCCCTCTGCGGTGGTAGTCGCTGCTCAGTTGTCACAGGGGCGCTGTCGCTGACACCCTACGTAGGCACACAGACACGTGCATTGTGGGTAAGCAGAGATACACTACAGCCGCTGGTGGGAACACATGGCAGGGATGATATAACAACAGACCATGCGCACTACCACCAACAATAAACGCACCACATTATATGCATATATATATATATATTATCACACGTGTGTGGTCCACGTGTAGTAGTGAGTCATGCAAGCTAACTCAGGTGTACGAGGGGTTAGTTTTGGGGTAAAATATTAGTGTTGTGTGTCATGTATTACTAGTTTTACAATTACAAGTAATTCGGTGTATGCACGCCAATAGAACGAGGGCATACACTGTAAAGTGGTGTAGTGTGCAAAGTCGTGTGAAATAAAAGATGACGAGTGACGGACTACAGAGGAGGCCAGGTACTCTGCCGTGTCAGAAACCAGAGGGGAATGACGGTAGGTAATATCTAGTCTATGACTATATAGGTTGAGGTGGTGAGGTGTTCAGTCCTCATAATCCTGTAAGCTATTTAACTACTTTAAAAATATAAAGTACAACGCTATTTCACTCTAAATCATTCGTGAACTAAATAAGTTATTCAGAGTATATTTATATATGTATATATATATATATATATATATAACAGTTGGTTTTTAAGGAACGAGATAAGAACTGCGTAGCCGACCATCTCCGCATGAAAGGTGTAAGGAAAACATCAGCAATTGTGTCGATAAACACACGAATAAATATGCAAGCACGCGTGTACACACTTTTAATTGCGGGCAGCCTACAAGGAGTACGGGACAAATGATACATCTCCTTACAGTTGTTGCATTGCCGTTATCAGTACGTGCTCTTCAGATGAAACACACAGCACACAAACTCCTTGCCCATGCATACCCACACGCGCCTGCCTGCTACTTTACCTACCTTGAAGTAACCGGTGTTGTGGGTTATAAACAGTACTGCCTTATCCCTGAGTGAGCCTAGTAATATGCGTTTCACAATGGTCATAGCCACAGGACCATCTAATGCGGCCAATGGGTCGTCGAGAATGTACAGCAAGTGCTCACCGTACAGTGCACGCGCCAGAGCGACGCGCGCACGTTGCCCACCACTGAGTGTGGATGAATAGTTAATGAACAAGAATAGAAGGATGC